AGTTCCTGTGCTACAGTTTGAGCTTAAAGCCAAGTGGTTTAACATTTTGAAGTGGATCTCTTCGTCGGGAATGCAGTTTCACAGTGTATGCTTCTAGAGCTCTAGTAGGTTGGCAGTGTAAAGGGAGTAACTTTTAAGCTACTTAAGTGCATCGCAACAGCTTGTCCTGGCTGTAGCTTCCCTGGCCAGGGCAGTGCCCAGTCAGGGCTCCAGCTGTTTGACAGCTGAACTGGGAGCCACATTGACACAGTGGGAGCAAGTTATGACTGCGAGGTCCCTGCTGGCTCTTGTCCTGCTACGCAGGTTTCTGGTACCAATTGTGACTGACCCTGTCCTTTGCCGCGTAACTGTATATCTATACCACTGCATGGCTGTGCTTGCTTCTCCTAAGCCAACCCTCCTGCTAGGTGGTTACAGAAAGCGGGTGGTTGAGGTTATGGATGGGGCCTGGTGGTGAAGTTTGGGGGAGGGGGAAAGGTGCCTGCCCCAGGCACAGCCGATATGAGCTTTGTGCAAGTGGCTGTGGTGACTGTGAGCAGCTGTTGGCTGGGCTCCTTGCCAAATGTGTGAATGCAGCTTGCTCTCTGGGCTGGCTGGAGCTGAAGGAGAAACTGAAACGCTGGCTAGCTGGTATGTAAAGTTACAGCTTTTAAACAAGCTGCTGATTCTCAGCAAACAGCTCTGACTAATACAGAGGAGGTGGTGTGGGGATGGGCATTCCCCTGCAGTGGGGAAATGTGACTTTTTGGGCCATGAAATTCCACACTTCCATTGGTATTTCTGCTCCAACTGTCGCTCCACTCTAGAAAACTCCAGTTTTTGAGCTGTAGCTCTTTATTGGAAGCTCAGTCAGAGCAGAGAGAGAATAAAAATGCTGGGGGTTATTCTGCACAGCCCCTGGAGCTGATGCGGCTGAGGTCATTGCTTGTACCGATCCAGCAGAACGGTAGGGGAAGCTGGGCTGTGAACAGATGCTCCTGTTCAGTCCTCAGTGAGCAGAGCTTGTGGAAAAGCTCTTCTAGAGCCCTTCTCTTTCAGGGTTCCTCTAAAGTTCCTGCCTAGAGCACTAAGAAAAACTGTTTCAGGAAGGTCTTGGCTGAAACCTCCCACACAGGGGTTCGTGGCTGCGCTTCAGTGATGCTATGCATGTCGCTCTGCTTCACTTGATGTACGTCATCCCAGGGCAGCTCAGAGCACAGTAAAGCAAACTGAAAACTGCTCAAGATCCAGTCCCTAGAAGTCTATTGTGTTCTCTGTGTTTATTTCTTTCTGACTTCAGGAACTTGGTTAGATACAAAACAAGGAATAACAAGAGTGGAGGAAAGTATCTTGGATCCAGAATGTAGCAAGGTGATACTCACTCCTCTGCTGTTTAACTGAAGTATTTATTTCTGCACTGCAGGAGAGTATACAGGATTCTTGTTGTACTCCCCTCTACCTGCCCTCTTCTTGATTAGTAGCTACTGAGCGGATTCACTTGATGGTTTTTTGTTGGAATATCTGTTCCTTTTCAGTGTCAAAATCCTTCCCCACCCCTGACATATGGAAGTGTGCTGAAATAGAGTTAGTGTAACCGTAAAGGGCTGAATCTCTGACAGGAAGGCTGCTGCTTTGCCTCCCCCATGGGCCTTGCTGGAGGAATGCCCCTTCAGACTGGAATTGCCCGGTACTACTGGGAGGATGTTGATGCAATGTCCATTTCAAAATTGGTGACTGAAACAGTGGGGTGGGATGGGGTTTTCTGAGGGACAACAAAATAGTAATGTCACAAATGTTGGAAGTGGCATTCTGCTTTGTGAGCTGAATGTTGCTACGCACCTACATCTTAGTGGAATGAAAGCCCCTAAACATGCGAGAGCCTGGGCAAGGTCTCTCTTGGCCTAGTTAACACAGTTCTCTGCCGCTTGGCTCTAAATGCCTTGAGCAAAGGAGAGCAGTGGTCTTTTGGGAATTGCCCTACTTGCTAGCTATTGTTTGCAGCAAACAGGCCTGTGTGATTGCGTGCAGCGACTTGCCCGAGGCTATGCTGCACATAGTGCATTAGTTTCAGAATCTGAAGTGAATGGTGGGGGTGAGGACACCCCCACACACACTCCCACCCATGTGTTTTTGAGTCTGTGCTAATAAATCCTGGGGGAGGGATCTAGCTTGAGTCTCAGACAGAGGGACAGGATAGATGACCGATGGTGTCTGACAGTGGAAACGGCCTGCATGATTCATTCCAAGACTGGAATCAAAGACCTATGCTCTTTCCTTGGTGTTCAGCTTTCCCCAGCTCCCTCTCCAGTAAGCCCATGTGAAGGGGAGACTGGCAGCCCTGCTGCTTTTTGGCAGTGGTCTGTGGCTTTAGTGCTGTGCTGGCTTTGACTGGGATGGAGTTAATTTTTTCCGTAGTAGCTGGTATGTGACTATGTTTTGGAATTGTGCTGAAAACAGTGTTGATAATACAGAGATGTTTTCATTATTGCTGAGTCGGGCTTACACAGTCAAGGCCTTTTCTGCCTCTCAGCCCACCCCACCAGCGAGTTGGCTGGGGGAGCACAAGAAGTTGAGAGGTGACATGGCTGGGACAGCTGACCCCAACTGACCAAAGGGTTATTCCAGACCATGTGATGTCATGCTTGGCATATAAAGGTGGGGGAAGAAGGAAGGGGGGGATGTTTGCAGTGATGGCGTTTGTCTTCCCAAGTCACCATTACGTGTGATGGAACCCTGCTTTCCTGGGGATGGCTGAACACCCACCTGCCGATGGGAAATGGTGAATGAATTCCTTGTTTTGCTTTGCTTGCACACATGGCTCTTGCTTTACCTATTGTCTTTATCTCAACCCTCGAGTTTTCTCACATTTACTCTTCCATTTCTCTCCCCCATCCCGGCAGGGGTGTGTGTGAGTAAGCAGCTGCATGGGGCTTCGTTACTGACTAGGGTTAAACTGGGGGGATGCCTAGGCTTTGAAAGCCCCTGCTGTGGGGTGGTGGGGTTGTGCCTTCTGACACCAGGCTAGCTAGAGCTGAGAAGCAACAGGAGCCCAGAAAGCAAGGATAGCAATTTCTTGGAGCAATCATGCTCCACACAGCACTTAGTCTGGACAGGCCTTAAATGGGTGAAGATGGTGAGGATGTTGAAAGCCTGCTTAAGTGTTGAATATGCCTTTCTAGCTTGTTGCTCTTTCAGTTTTCCTCTGCCAGGTGTGGAAGGGTGATCAGCTGCAGATGCCTGTGTTTCCCCTTTGGGCTGCTCTGCTGGTTAAACCCGTGAACACGCTGCCTGAGTGTGCTCTCCAGAGCTGTGCTGTTGTTTGCATAATATTCCCCCTGTCTCCAATTACTTTCTGAAATGCCTAAGCTTTTCTTTAACTTTTTGAGACCAGAGCTGTGTGTAAGACTTCTTGCCTGTTCTTGTGTAAGAGTAGAGGAAGAGCAGAGATAACAGCTTCCCTACGCAGCTGTGATTGGGGACATCTAGTTCAGGCCCTGTCTCTGCTTGTGGTGGGGTCCTGGGGTGGAGAACAGAGGCACTGCCTGGGATTCTTGCAGAAGTGACCCTAGGCTCTGTCTGGCCTAATAGCTAAGGGGCCAGATGGGCCCTGGGTAGGACAACAAACCCAGCTCTCCCTGCCTTCCTCTGCCTGTGGAGCCAGCAGCGTGAGGGTGGGAACTCAGAGGTTCAAGATAAGGCTTGTGGCAGCAGCCGAGGCCAATCTTGTTAGTAAGAACCAGGTCAGGGTGCTTTGCTTTGAAGGGAAGGAAAAGGGGAAGTGAAGTAATTAAAAGGGGAAGAGCTAGACATCATGAGAAGAAAGATCACGTAGCTCCTGTCTGTCTAGCCTGACGTAGCTGATCCCAGTTTGCTGAGCTGCAGTCTTCCTAGGAAGAACAGATGCTGATTTAGAAAAGCTTCTCTCTAGCAGCAGGCACTGCTTGCGCTTGCTGGGTGTCCCTGGGTTTGCCATGGTTGCTTGCAATGCTGAACAGTAGAAGGACAGGGAAAACTCTTTCCACCGGTCTGAAATGTGCTGTAGCACCACAGGCAAAAAGGTAATACGTGGGATGGGAGCATCCTAGTGCTCAGGCTGATGTAAGTCTATCCCATCCCTCAAGCAGTCTAATGACACTTCTCTCCAACCTCTTGTGATCTGGGTCTGTCCTTAGCAGTAACAGCTCTCCTCACGTACAGGCTGGCTGAGAAGGACTTCAAAAGGAGGTGGAAGAAGGTGAAGGAGTCTGCTGGGTGGTAGCTTGCACCTCTCATCAAACTGAAAGGTGTTGTAAATATATCTATATGAGGAATGGGGGTGAAGGGGTGATTTGATACATCTGAGCCTTGTGTTAATGAGCAGTTTAGATAGTTGTAGCACTTCCTGCCTTAATATAGCAGCAGCTGTTGTAGGCGTTTGGGGAGGGGCTGATCAATGCCTTGTGAGAAAGGGAAGTTTCTACCAGCTGTGTGTTAGAAAACCCTGCTGCACAGAGGAGCAGAGTAACTTATACCTCCCTGAATGGTGGAGATGAACTGCAGTGACTGAGACTCTGGACCAGAGTCTTGCTTGCAGTGCAAGGTTAGAAATACGTCACCTGTGAGGCAGTGTTGTCCTTCAGCTTGCACTTGTCTTTCACCTCTGTCTCATATGGGGCAGGCAGCAGTCATTCAGCCTGTGTCTTACCAGGATAACCATACCCAGTTCTGTTTCCTTATTACTCATCAGGTTTGTAGCCCTTCTCTATGCCTGAGCAAGGACTTGCTGGGAAGTACTGGTGCTTTGGCAGTTGCATTACATAGCAAAGCTGCTGTCTTGCCTTCCCTTCAAGACCGAGGCTGTATATATCACCTTCTCTGTACTTGTTACTTTTCACACTTAGCTTTTTTTGAGTGATCAAAGCTGCATATAGCACTTCTGAAGAGATATAGTTTGTGCTTTCTACAATTGTTTTACTATTTTCCTGTCTCTCCTGGAAGGATTTTCCCAATGCATACTAGGACTGTTTCTGTTCTCTGGTTCTGGACCACTGGAACCTATAGGGTTTTTTGTTTGCTTGGTGGCCACAGAACAAACATCTCAAGTTTTTCTGAGGTAGATCTGCTGTCCTCCATACATTATAACACTTATTTGGCTAGGACTCCACAACTTTGTTTTCTTGTGAGTTAAATATATTTCCCTTTCTGTTCTGATCTTAAGGAGATGTGTGATTGCTTGATCTGATTTCTGAACGTCTCTGTGTATCAAATGCATTTCCCGTCAATGCTGTAACAAGCATAATGCTGTATTTGGTAAGCAAAGGAATTTATTCCAAGCCTCACCTTCTGAAGAACCTGAGTAGCAGTCTCCCATCTGCTTAATATGCTTGAGAAGAAACTGATTGGTGGAAGAAATGAGGACCTAGCATTAACTCATTTTTTTCTAGAATAACTTCCCTCTAACATAGCAGCAGGCCACTGAAAGCTAGGGTGGATTTGTTGTGTTTACTCCTGCCTGGAAAAAAATTTTTTTAACAAGCAATGCCACCTGGTCATCATAGTGGGACTTTGTCTTGGTAAACCCATTCTGTATTTCATCCTGTTGATCATATTTATTACCTCTTCTCAAAAGCATAGACAAGACTGCAGAGTAAGGTATTTGAAGGTCAGTCTGGGGGATTTGTCACTGCCTGGTTGCTTTTTTCTTTTCTTTAAGAATTGCTTTGTGTGCCAATTAAATGCTTGTTTTCCAATTATTTTAGTCATGGTTCTCTACCTTTTTGCTATAATTTACAAATAGCTGTATTGTGGGAGTGTGATAGCCTGAGCACCTATTATTGTTTCCTTTAGATCCTTTGGTGAATGTCTTAAGTGGAAGCTACTGCCCATTCCACTGTTGGTGGTTTTTTTTTTTTTCCTTTTTTTCTGTGCTTGTAATCTCTAGCTGCAGTTTATCTCTGCTTGAGCCTCATTCACTGGAGCTAGAGCTAAGCAAAATGTTTTCACACTCATGACAGTGAGCCTCTGGTTTTCTCCACTGTGGGGAAGGTGGACCCACAGCAGGACTAACACAGGTGATAGGGACGGGTGTTATGTCCCCTAAGCCCCAAAGAAGAGGCTACAAGGAATTAACTAATCTAACTCTCCTGCCTTTTTATCCTTGCCAGCTGAAAGAAGAGTTGTCCCACATAGCTGGAAGACTGATTGAAAATTATGACCCTATGAATGATGACCAGAGGAACTTACAAGTTGCATGGGACTATGTGCAAACACGGGTGAGTCACGGGGGGCAGCAGGAGGCAGATGATGCTATTTGTCAGTGCAGTAAATGGCCTTTGAAACTAGGCTGAAGACAGGGAAACGGGTATTGCAAGGGGCAGTACTCTAGCACATTGATCTTGCTGATCTACAGAGTTGCCTGTGACGTTTGGTGCCTGCATACTAGAAAACTGTCTTGCTTGCTGTTACTCGGTAAGACCCTGAACCATTCCTGCATGCGGGCTGTTAGGATTAACTAGTATTGGCTGCATAGGCTAATGTATATGTCCTATCAAATGGCATGCCAACACTTCTCTCTGTCTGCAAGGCCTCCAGAATACTAGCATGTGTGAAAGCTGCAGTGTGTACTATTTTTGTAGCAAGTGAAGACCATAGCTTATTGCCAGGCAGGTCAGCAGCATGGCCTGCCTTACTACTCGGTGCATGTTGCTTGCTTATTGTGATGGCTCTTCTGCAAGTGTCAGCATTCTTGGGAGCCATCCAACCGCCCATGGTTTCTATTTTAGTGTCGGGGTCAGCGCTTGAGCAACTAGGTCAGTGTTCAGGCACACTGGAGTCATGATAGCTGTTTACTGCCAAACCACAAGCTTGAGAGCTGGCTGGCTGTTGTGGTTAAACACATGCCCAGCATGGGACTGGTGTGTAGTAAGTACAAGTAATAGCATTTTTCTTCTGTCTGTTCTTCGGTCTGCAAAACACTGACCTGCAGTATTTCTCCTTGGAGGGAGAATGATTTATTTATGTTTTATCACTGTAGTTGCATCTCCTTGCTAGTGGACTCAAGACAAGGCTGAGTCTACTGTGGAGAGAGGGTGCTGTTTGAGCCCTTCTTTTATGTAGGAACAGAAGAAGGTTTTATAGAGGTGGAGAAGTCAACTATTAGGAATCTAATTCCTCTCATAGACTAGAGTTAGCATTTGAAAGGGTGTGGGTGTTCTGTGGACCAGTCTTGGAGTTGAAGTCTAAACCTCTGTGAGGTAGAGGTAGTTCCTTCTGGAGGCTGGATCTTCAGCACTTGTTTGGAAACAAAATGCTCGTCCTGGTGTGGGTGTTCAACTATCTGTACCTCTGCTCTTATGTCTGTTGTGTCAGATGGAAACATTACATTTCCTTTCTGAGCAGAGGGAGATTTTTCCTAAACTTCCAGCTCAAGTTTGATAACCTTTCTGCTCTATACCACTGTGCAAGCACTGGGATCCATGCTTAAGATAAGATCTTAGTCTTTGCTGGACTTCCCAATGTGCTTTCCCCTCCAGCAACTGCAGTTTTATCACGTGGCTGTATAGGAATGTAAATGTTTCTTTGGATGGAAAACTTTCCTCATCCCATCTTCCAGTCAGCTCCAGCTGCAGCCAGGCGGGTGCAAACTTGCCATGACTCGCTGGGACTTCGTAGCATGTCGACGCCATCGTGCGGTGGGTGCTGGTGTCCCCCGAGGGCCACAGCTAGATGTGGTAGATCACTGGTACCTTGAAATTGGGAACCGGAAAATGAAAAGTTCCTGCTTTATGTCTGCTCAAAAACCTGTATGGCCTGAACTGTTGTTGTTTCATGGAGAGCTCTGGTGTACTTCTACCTCTGCTGCCTGTTTGTTTTCATGTGCAGTATGTTACCAGTGCAAAACCTAAGACCATGACGATCTGTCTTTGCTTATTAGGTTGCCTGCTGTGGCTGGACTGGAGCAAAGGACTGGGAAAAGAATGAGAAACTTATCAACGAAAGCATGACTGCGTATCCCTGTTCCTGCTCCAATAGCTCCAAGGACGTTCAGGCAGAGAGTGGTTTCTGTAACCTGGATGTCCCTGTCAATGGCACTGCAACATCCGCTGACTGGCCTGTTTACGAGCAGGTGAGTGGGTGTGTCTGGGCCCTGTGAAGCTTCCACTGAAGTCGCCTTGCCTTTGTTCCTCTGGGAATCTTTTAGAGTGCTTTTTTCACGTCAGTGAAGTACCTGCGGAAATGGGGACAAGGAGGGACAGGGATCCTGCCCTTTCCTGCTAAAGCTACTGTGAAACTTGGTGTGGCATGTAACTGGGATAATCTCTGCATGCACAAGGATTTTAAGTCTTGAGATACTTAGATTCATGCTGCTTTCCCTTGTGACCATGTTTTCTCCATAGGGATGCATGGATGGTGTAGAGGAGTGGTTGAAGGACAACCTTGGTATCATTCTTGGAGTCTGCACTGGTGTTGCTGTTATAGAGGTAAGTCACTCCCTGATGTGAACCTATGCTGGCTTACTGTTCAGACTCTTTTAAAGGTAAAGCTATTTTTTCTTTTTTCAAGTAATAGACACCTGGTTTAATGGCAGTGCAGTTCTAGCTCTTGGTTGTGTCTACCTGGAGCTTTGAACTGCTGCTTTCATTGGCTGGATTAAAAAATTGAACAAAGCCCTATCTACTTGTGGTTTCTGATGCTGTGTCTGACACTTGGCAATTCACTGCATGCATAACCAGGAAGAATGAGACAAGCAACATCCCACTTGTTGTCTTAAAAAAGCTATAACATAGATTCCAGATGAAGGCACATCTTTTTGCAGCAAAATATTTTTGTCATCCCGATTATTGCATTTTTCCTCGCATTGGGGACCAACTCTGTTCACCTTTGTGGTGTCGTTAAAAGGAGACCACTGTATTCTGCTCCCCTCTACCACCCTTTCTTCCCACCTCATCTGTCTTGTTACTGATTTTGCTCCCATTCTTTATTGCTTATTCCAGCTGCTGGGGATGATACTGTCCATTTCACTCTGCAAGAACATACACAGTGAAGACTACACCAAAGTGCCCAAGTCTTGAGTTGGCTGACTCCAGAGCTACAGCACCATGGAGAAAGGAGCAAACAGAACATTCCTGCCTCATACCCAGACTGTCCAACCATTGACCATTATTCCTGTGGCATCCCACTTCTGATACCACTCTGCTAAGAACTCTTAGAGCTGCAAAACAGCCTGATATTCTGGCAATAGGGCCCTTGGGCCACCTGCATCCTGCCTCTGGATTATTTCTACTTCAAGAAGCAGAACTTAACTGTCTCATATCACATGAGACACCGATTAACCTGAGGGGACAATGCTTTTGCTGCCTGCTCCATGTTAAACGATACTATTCATATCTCCATTCTGTAACCCACTGGGCCTAACATACAGTAACTCCTCTCCCACCTTGGTTCTCCTCCCACACATCTTTCCCCCTACCCCCAGAAGTCCCATCTCTTTGTCCCATGAGCCAGGATTGCTGTTGAGATTCCAGTGCTTTGGTAGCTTCACCTACTTCACTGACGTGTGGTGGTAACTAGCTATGCTTTATAGGCCTTCTTCTCCCTTGCAGTTAACCTGACTCAGCTCCTACTATGCATCTTCCAGCCTAGACTCTCATGTGAAATGTCGAGTGCTGCCCTCATTCTCACTTCTCCTGCTTTTGGAGTTAGCTATGCCTTGCCTTCAGTGGAGGTCTTCCCTCTGAGCGTGATGAGAAGCCACCAGGAGGGAACCAAGCCTACCTATTCCTAGTGTGGCCTGGCAGATTATGGTGGTGCTCAGCTGCTTCTGGAATGGGTCCCTTGGGTCTGGATTTGACACTTAACATGTTTCTCCCACTTGCCTCTTTTTCCTCTCCCCCTAGCTCTGCTTTGCTGGCTCCCGTCAGCTTGGAGACACTTCAGAGCCTGCTGCATAGTGTGGACTCAGCCCCAGGCTGGCTCTCCTGGTTGCATTCTTGGGTTGCCAACTTTTATAGCGGTTACGATTAACTTCGTTCTTCCCCTGCCCCCTTTATGGACATAAAAGTTGTTAGCTGTGGTTTTTAATTATGAATATAGAAGAATCTGACTGGATTGCTGATGCTGTATATTGGAGCTATCACTGCTACCAGTGCCCGGTTTAGGTTCTGTAGTTTGGATACAAGGATAAGTTGCTTTTATTTCAGTTGGCCAGTCTTCTGACTCCACTGTGGTCTGGAGCCATGGCTGCATCCTGAGCTCTGTCTCGAGTGTAAACACTGCAGCAGATAAGTAGCTGGTTCTGCAGTCGTGCAGGCTGGGTGGTTTCTGTACTTAATGGCCGGGCTGTTCGCTCTATTCAGCCAGTGGCCAGCACCAAGGAGTGGTGTAGAGCTGAAGAAAGTAGAAAATGTATGCGGAAAACCAGCCCCAACTTCTTAGGTAAGGGAGCTGGGTGCAAATCTTCAGTTTTAGAGGTGGCTTGGGCACAACAAATCTCCTGCAGTTGCACATGCGTGCAGTCACCCTGACGGCAGGGTATGATGTGTGAGAGAAGAGTGGATGCCTGAGACCTGATACAGGGTACTTGGTGAGAGAGCCTTTGCCTTACAGAGGTGGTCCCAGGACTGACTTGTCAGGGATGGGGTTGGTAGGAATAACCCTAGCAGCAGTTCAAAGGGATGGCTTCTCTACCTACTCAGTTTTCCTTCTGGGAAGAAAGGCTCATGCAGGGGATTAGGGCCCCAGCAGTGGGTCCCTGCTCTGTCCTTATCTCTGGACGCAGCTGTGGTTGGGGAGAGTAGAAATGACCAGGCAACTGGTTTTTATGGAGGTCTGATAAGGCTTTGCTGTTTTGAGACACCTGCCCCCTCCTGCACAGATCCTTCAAGCTGACCTTTGCTATGGCAGAAGGCACCCTTCTTAGCAGTAAAGCTTGCTAGCTTTTGTAGCACAAAGTCTATTCTCTAATGTGTTCCCATTTGTAAGATTCTTGTTCAGTTACAGATGCCAATGCTGATCAGCAAGTAAAAAGGAGCCTGTGCTGGGTTCCCTTTTTTGGTTTTTTGTCTGTTTTTAGCAATATCTTCCTACTGGAAGAAATGCATGTACAGATATAAAAGTCTAGAGGGTGACTACTTCTGTAATAAAGACTTTGCTAAAAAAATATATCTCTGCCTACAACTTGTGCATTGCAGTGGTTTTCCCCTTGGTTCCTCTCCACCCCCTTCTGCTTACATGCAAATCACTGACACTTTGTTTGTTCAAGGCAGCAAAGGGCCTGTCAAAAGCTGTTTGGAGGCCCCTGTGTGAGATCAGCGTGGGCTGTGAAGATGGTGCCCAGCGGAGGAAGGTGACAATTTTCCTATGCTATATTCTAGAGTAAACTTTGTCTTGTTTTATGAAGTATGTCTGTCCTAGGGTGAGCTGAGTGAGTGGTGGTTCCTTTGAATTACCTGCTATCTCCTAAGCTAAGTGATCTCTGTATTTGAAGATGTTGCTTGACATCTGTAAAGTCTGCGCTGTATGAAGTCGTAAGCCTTGGGGACTAACTCTGACAAAACATAAGCTTGCCGCTATGCCCACAGTGCATACAGCTCTTGCTAGCTTAGCTTTATCATTTTTTCCTCTTCCTACTCACCTTCAGTAGGCTCCTGCCCCCAGGCTGCTATTTTAAAACAAAGATTTCTCAGCCTCTGCTCTGCCATTGTGAGGAGGAAGAAAGCCGAGGTAGCCATTTTTTGTAGGTTATGCCACTGCACACTGGGCTGGACTATTTGAAGAGCTCTTGAGAAGTAGATAGAGCAACTGCATGAACCTTCTTGCTTCCCTCAGCTAAGCAGTTAAGTAGATATGAGCTGCATCTCAAAATTCCTTCAGATCCTGCTCTAGGGTGGTGTTTCTGGCCATGTAAAATGTCTGTCCTTAGAAGGACCTACGCTTAGTGCCCTAATGGAGCCTGGAGCTCTTGCTTTAGGAAGCAATAAGCACTGACCCAGGTCCTCACACACTGAGGAAGAAACAGAGTGAAGTTGGCAGAGAAGAAGGTGCTGGGGTGCTACCAGCAAACACTGGTGGCAACTGTCGTGGTTTAACCCTGGCTGGCAACTAAGCACCATGCAGCCACTCGCTCACTCCCCCCACAGTGGGATGGGGGAGAGAATTGGAAGAATAAAAGTGAGAAAACTCATGGGTTGAGATAAAGACAGTTTAATAGGGAAAGCGAAAGCACACAAGCAAAGCAAAGCAAGGCAAAGAATTCAGTCACCACTTCCCATGGGCAGGCAGGTGCTCAGCCATCTCCAGGAAATCAGGGCTCCATCATGTGTAATGGTTACTTGGGAAGACAGACGCCATCACTCCAAATGTCCCTCGCCTTCCTTCTTCTTCCCCCAGCTTATATACTGAGCATGACGTCATATGGTCTGGAATAGCCCTTTGGTCAGTTGGGGTCAGCTGTCCTGGCTGTGCCCCCTCCCAGCTTCTTGTGCCCCTGGCAGAGCAGGGGAAGCTGAGAAGTCCTTGACCACTCTAAGCACTACCCAGCAACAACTAAAACATCAGTGAGTTATCAACATTCTTCTAGTACTAAATCCAAACCACAGCACTATACCGGCTACTAGGAAGAAAATTAACTCTGTCCCAGCTGAAACCAGGACAGTCAAGATTTCAGTTACCCCGACCAGCTGGGTGCAGAGCGAGAGGTGCTTAAATAGATCTTGGAGCCACAGTAGGGTGCAATGATCTGTCTGATCTGTGAGTACAGCTTGTTCCTTTAGGCTGTCCTGGGCTGTGCTTGAGGAGAGCTTGGTTCTTGGTCATATGGGGTCTCCTCCCTTCCTGGCTGGTTTCCCAGAGCACCCTGCTTTAATCAGGTGGCAGCGCTTTCCCAGGGCCTCAGGATTTACAGGGCTACGCTTGACGTCAAAGCTGCCAAACCTGACCGGATGGTTGCTAGGTGGGGAAGGACACTTCTGGTTCTCCTTCAGCCCAATGCAGCCCAGGAGTCCAACTGTACCCTGGGCTGCATCAAAAGCAGCATGGCCAGCAGGTCGAGGGAGGTGATTCTGCCTCTCTACTCTGCTCTGGTGAGACCCCACCTGGAGTACTGTGTCCAGCTTGGGAGCCCTCAGCACAATAAGGACATGGAACTGTTGGAGCGGGTCCAGAGGAGGGCTACAAAAATGATCCGAGGGCTGGAGCACCTCTCCTATGAGGAGAAGCTGAGAGAGTTGGGGTTGTTCAGCCTGGAGAAGAGAAGGCTGCGGGGAGACCTGATTGCGGCCTTTCAGTACTTAAAGGGAGCCTGTAGGAAAGACGGGGACAATCATTTTAGCAGGGCCAGTTGTGACAGGACAAGGGGTAATGGTTTTAAACTAAACCAGGTTAGGTTTAGACTGGCTATAAGGAAGAAATTCTTTACAATGAGGGTGGTGAAACACTGGAACGGGTTGCCCAGAGAGGTAATGGAGGCCCCATCCTTGGAAACATTGAAGGCCAGGTTGGATGGGGCTCTGAGCAACCTGATCTGGTTAAGGGTGTCCCTGCTCACTGCAGGGGGATTGGACTAGATGACCTCTAGGGGTCCCTTCCAACCCAAAATATTCTATGATGTGGAGCTGGAAGAAGAAAGGAGGGAAAGTGAGGACTGCTGCTTGTCCCCAGCCTTGGGTCTGCAACTGGCCGAGCTCTGTGGAAACCGCTTGCCTTTGGCCACTGGAGGGAGGTGTTCCACCAAGAAAACTCAGCCGGGTGCTGCAGTATCAGCAGCATCGGCTGGTCCCTGGGGGATGAGATGATGACACTGATCGCTTCCTTCTGCTCCTCGTTACTCCTGGCAGCAGGGTAGCTAAAATAACTTGTAATTACAAATGTATTCTCCTCGTAAACCATTTGTGCTGCATGCTTGGCATTTTTAGGGATAATTTTCCCTTCCATTTCTTGGAGCAGCACACAGTTGGATGTTTGTTGCATGTCTTCCACTACTGTATATGGGTTGTGCTTCTCGGGTTTCTGCCCTAAGTAGCTCTGGAAGTTGAAGATAGCAGGAGGAGCTTCCCCTGCTGCTTCTTTCCTTTTCTCCATCTTTTTCCTGTTTCCCTCCATCCTCAGTTTCTTTATGTGGCCAGTCTGGGGGGAAGGAGGGGGTATTTTATGCTTACAAACCTGTTCTAAAAAAAAATGATCCCAGGAAGAAAGGCCTCAGGCCTTTAGAGAGCAAGAAACTTGCTGCTGCGCCTTGGGCCAGGCTCCCAAGCTCATCTCCAGAGGTAGAGGTTTGCTGCTGGAGCTGGAAATCTGGATAGCACTCGGAATTCTTGGGAGCTGCCGTGTTTGTCCAGCAAAACCCGCAGCGCCAGCCTCTGCAGTAGTTCAGCACATGGAAGCATTTTGTGCGTAACCAGTAAGCTGCTATATAGCTGTCCCAGGCCAATAATTAATATTGCAAGAGTATAGCTGTGACCTCCCCGTGGCCTTAAGCAAGGCCTCTAGTAATGAACTGGTGACATTCCTCATTCTGTGTGTTCATGAGGACCTTGGAAGCTGCTATAAGTTTTCCCATGAGGTGTTTTTTTCATTCTGGAAAGGGGTGAGGAATTGCATTACTTCGAGTGGGTATGGGTGCAATGCATCTTGTTTTCTGTGGTTGTTTCTGCATGGCACGTACTCAAATGTAATGTGTGGCAGCTCTTCTCTGTAACTCCCATGTGTAGCAGCATGGCTGGTCCCTGCCGGCTTTGCTTGGGAGTTGGGGCTGAATTTGGTAGGCTTCAGGAAAGGCCTGATTTCTGGCTGCTGAAGGACAGCAAGTGGTGCTGTCAGACTCCGTGACTTGGTTGGGGAAGGTGAGGAACAGCAGCCACCAGGGCTCATTGCTGAAAAGCCTGGGGACCCTGGGATTCCCACAAATGCATTTTCACAGCCAGTTGCTGCCACTCAATGCCATAAATGGAGAACATGCCCTCCATTATTCATGGTCTGGCTCTAACCCATTAGCCTCTGAGACTTGGCTCTAGCCTTGGCCTTTCACTACAAAGAATAAACCTCAGTTAGCAGCCAGGCTTTCTGAATGACGTCTCAAGCCAGGTTGATGCTAAAAACTTGTTAGTGTAAGACCTACTAACGTGGAAGTCTTCGAATACTGTTAAGCTGGCAAAAGGTCCCTAGCAAAAACCATGCTGTTAGTGAACCAAAGCTATTAGTAAAACATTGCTAGTAAAGCTACTAAGTGTGCTTTAGCCATTATAAACAGTTTCCAGCAGGCATGTGCTGGTAGAGCACATGCAATTTCTTGTCTTGTGGCAAGAATCTCTTCTGCCAAACATGGGAAATTACCTTCTCCTGAGTAGGTTGTGTAACCCTAGCCATACATTCTTACTTCTCATAGGTATGAAT